GGGCCCACCATGGCCGGGGCGGGCGGAGCGGCCAGCGGGTGGGCGGCGGGGGCCAGGGGGGCGGCGGCGGCGGGCAGGGGCTGAGCCCCCGGGGGCAGCGGGGGCTGCTGCTGCTGCTGCTGCTGCTGCAGGTGCTGGAAGTGCTGCTGCCGGGCGCGCATCTCCGCGTACTTGAGCTGCTCCATGTGGAACGCCTGGCGGTCGGCCAGCAGCTGCTGCCGCTGGTATTCCAGCTGGGGAAGGGGGGACAGGGGTCAGCGGGGCAGGGAGGGACGGGGACGAGCGGCCGCCACCCCGGCCGGGCACTCACGGCCTCGCGCTCGCGGTCCATGATGGTCTCCAGCTCCTCGAAGTGCCGCAGTTTGATCTCCAGCTTCTTCATCTGCGTCTCCACCAGCAGCGCCACCAGGGACTTGATCTTGCGCTCCTCCACGGCCGCCAGGTGCTGCCGGGGGAGGATGAGGAGGGGTCAGAGTTCACACCTGGAGCGTTCCCCTCCCGCCTTCCCGGAGCCCAGGGCTCACCTTGGCCTTCACGGCGGCGGCGGCCAGCGCGGCGGCGGCGGCCGTGGACAGGTTCCCCTCGCCGATGTCCCGCTCCACCTTGGCCTTGCGCTCGGCCTCGGGCTCCGGGGGCTCCTTGGGCACCTCGTCCGGCCCCTCTTTCACCTCCTTGTCCTTCTCGGGCTCACCTGTGGCCAGGTGGGGCCGTGTCAGCAGCTCCGAGGGGGGGGCTCAGCGTCCCCCCGGCCCTGCCGGCTCCTCGCTCACCTGCGCTGTCACCGTCACCCTTGTCGGGCTCCTTCTCTCCCTCCACCTCCTTCCCCTTCTCCTCCTCCTTCTTGGGGGTCTCCCCGGGTTTCTCCTTGGCCTCCTCCTCGGCGGTGCCATCCCGGGGCTCCTGGGGAAGGACCGGCCCCGTGGGCACCCGAATCCTGCCCCGTCTGCCCCCCCAGACCCCCAGACCCCTTTTACCTTCGCCTCCTTCTTCTCCTCGGCCGGCTGCGCCTCTGCCCGCGCCTCCTCCGCCCCGCTCTCCTCTGGGGACACAAGCCCGGCCTCAGACCGCGGTGTCACCCACCCCAGGACCCCCCGGGACCCCCCGGGACCCCCCGGCCGCGCTGACCGATGCGCTCGGGCTCGTCCGAGGTGGTGCCGGCGATGCCGCTGCTCTCCAGCCCGAAGGCGGGGTCGGCCTTGCCCGTCACCTTGGCCGCCTCCTCCACCTTGCGCACGTGGGCCTCCACCAGCGCCGTGGGCACCTCCTCCTTCATCTTGGAGAATTCCTCTGCGGGCAGAATTCCTCAGCGGGACCCCCAGAGGGAAGCCCGGGACCCCTGGGAGCCGGCCCTGCGTCCCCCAGCCCCGCACATCCCGGCTGGGGCTCAGCCCGGCCCCCCCGGCTCGTCCTGGCTCCCTGCAGGACTGTCCTGGCTGGCTATGGAATGTTCTGGAGGGCTCATCCCATCTCCACGGGAGTTGTTCCGTGGCCCCAGAGGGATGTCCACAGGATCTGGTTGTCTCCCCATGTTCTTCATCCCTCTCCCCATCAGCCTCAGCTCAGGTCCCTGCAGGATATCCTACAGGACCCATCCCTCTCCCCACATTCCTCATCCCATCTCCATAGGACTGATCCCATTTTTCTGTAGGATATCCTATAGGACTCAGCCCTTCTCCCTGCCACATTCTCCTCATTTCCCTAGAGGAACCCCTATAGGACCCATCCCTCTCCCCACACTCCTCATCCCATCTCCCATGATCTGATGGACTGATCTGATGGACTGATCCCATTTTTCTGTAGGATATCCTATAGGACTCAGCCCTTCTCCCAGCTGAAGTCTTCCCATCTCCCTATAGGGCTCATCCCATCTTCCCCACAGGATCCATCCCTCTCCCTGCAGGACTCCTCACAGTCCGTCCCTCTCCCTGCAGGACTCCTCACAGTCCCTGTCCCTCTCCCTGCAGGACTCCTCACAGTCCCTGTCCCTCTCCC